TGTCCTAATACAGGAATACCTCTGCTTTGCTTTTGTATCTCCTTCACTAACTGGGACGAACCACGAGGTATGACTAAATCTATGTAATCTTCCATTCCTAGCAATTCTCCGACATCTTCCCGGGTGCTGACCTAAAATACAAACGAATTTAATTTCAAAATACATAAAATAAATATTGATGAACTTAGGTGGCCTCATAAATGAAGTTCTATTTATAGGTCAACTTCCATTCTAAAATCATAAAATGCACATTAGGTGTTTAGGCAAGTTCTTACGTGTGTGTCCTTAATAAGAAGTGGAAGAATTCAAAAGTTCTGGGGAGGTGGATTGAGTGATTTACCTCAAAAGTTGGTATTAGTCCAGAGGTGGCCAACCCAAATGACTTTGCCAGCCACTTAGGGAAAACATAATAATACCGTTGGCTGCATATAAAAATATATGTCTTTATATTAGATTTTTACAGCAGTGTTTCTCAAACTGTGAGGCGGGGGGGCGTGAGCATATTGAAAATAAATGGTTTAAAAAAATAATTTTTTGGACTGAAGTAAAACAAAATGCTTTCTGACATAATAAAAAATACACACATTTACACTGATATAATTTATTTTAATCATCTGGTGATCATCAAAAATAAAAGATTCCACTTTAAACGCTCATTAGCCATCTTTGATCCTATAATCAAATAAAAAAATATATTCTGTTTGCTTTTCGGTCAATATGTGAACGACAAGAGATTTGTTTTTACGTTTCTCTTAACGATATCAAACGATGAGAGATTTTTTTATTACGTTTCTTTTAACCTAAAAAATTACTTCAGATGACCTTCGAACTTACTGGTATGGTTATCTCCGTCTTTTTTTTAGGGAAATTGTAAATATATATAATATATTTCTGTTTCATCTTTTTCCATGTGAAAGAGTTTTTTGATATATGGATAAGCATGAGTTTTCTGAAACATATAATGCATAATGAAAAACGTTTTACACAATTATTTTTTAGAACATGCTACACTTTCCCCATGAACAATTTTGTAGTTTTGATTGCTGTGTTTTACGACTTATTATGGTTTATAAATGTAAATAAGCAAATTAAAAAAAATGGGCATCTGTGATCCCTATTGAAGGAAGTTGAAACTGATCAAGCAGTTGAAGAACCTGCAGCGTTGCGTGGTTAGACATTCTTCACTACAACACGGTTGAATAAAATAACAATAAACATTTATTAACTTTAAAGATAAAAGATTAAATGAGCAATTAAGAGGTAAGCTTCCAAAAACTACAACACATAGTGAACCAGGCACGCTACAAGAATAACAGATCAATTCAGTTCAGTTTTGGAGTCGTTTTGTTGAGCTGTAAGGTCGCTGCATACTCCCCTTCCAGTGTCAACGATACCTAGTTGGAAGATGAACTTTGCGACCAGAACGTGTAGATGGCTGGGTAGGCGTTGAAGCTGTTGGATCAGATTCCACAGTAGCAGGTGTTGAAGCTGTTGCATTAGGTTCCACAGTAGCAGGTGTTTCATTCTTGGTTTGAGGTAGTTGCAAGTCCTCAGTGTTAAGAAAAAAGGCAGGTTTGCATCTATCAATAGATACAGATACCCGTTTACCATTGATGTCAAGGAAAAACACTTTATCCTTCCTTTGTAAGACTTTGAAAGGGCCATCATAAGGGTTGTTGAAGTGGACGACGTAACATATTTCGGCGAAGAAAAACATGTGTTGCTTCCATCAATTCAATGCAATGTTATTGTATGGAGGGAGGCGCGATGAAAATGATGATTGAATATTGGGTCGCGAGTATTGAAAGTTTGAGAAGCACCCCCTTAAGACAATGAGCCAACTGGGCCCCTGCCCAGGGCCTCGGCCACAATGGCAGCCTCGTCTCGTTCTCGAGTCAGTCTTAATAAGAGCATGATTCGAATAATTACAACGGTCAAATGTTATTTCCACTTCCTTTTCTCCGAAAAACTAAGAATTTCGGATGATATGTCAATTGGCTATATGTGAAAACCGTCGTACATGTATAGGCCTAGCCTTACCACCATACGCAATCATTACTCAATCAGTCAAAAAGTGGCTGTCGGGCGAGCCGGTATGTTCGATTGTAAATCCTGTACATTTATTTGTTTCGGGTTATTGTTTGTACGAGTATTTAACAACGTATGCTATATGCACTGTCTATTATCAAGGCCTACATTTGTGTAGGGGCCCATGGCCTCAAAATGTCTTAAGGTATCCGACTACTTGCGAAAACTTTTTTTTAAAAAATGGACATATGGAGACTTTTTTGTGGTTTTTAGATTTACTTAGTACATTTTAAGAAAAAAAGGCTAAAATTAAGAAGCGAAAAATAAATTGTTACTACTAAAACAAAAAATAAGTAAAATTTGACAACACATTACATAAACGGGGCACACTCTGTACAAATAATAAATGAGAAAATTCTCAATTTTTCAATTTTGATGCATTACTTTGCTATTCCTTTTTGAAATGACCTTCAGGATAAGAGATATTTTAATTTTTACAAAAACTAGAGCATTTTATCTTGGCTATTATATGAAATTGTTTAAAAAAACAGTGATTATATTCAGCTAAAGAGCTGTAAATTTTGTAATAAAGCAGAGATGAATAAATCTGTAAGTTAAAAAAAACCACTTCTACTGTTATACGCAAAACATACACTCAAAATTTCAGCAAATTATTTTAAAAACTTTTTGAGCAATCACTGTGCCCGTTTGATCTTTTCGAAAGAACACATTTCGAGTAAAACGCATTTTAAAGTTTAACATCTAAGGTAAAGTTGTAGCATCTGCTCTTACTAAAACACTTGTAGTTTTTGTTCTAAAGAATGGAAACTAAAAAACTTGGTGTTTTTATAAAGCTATAAGATGGCCTATAAAATACAATCATAAAAATAATTGTCAATTTTTGAAAAAAAATTCATGATTTTAGGATAGTCGGATACCTTAAGGCATCCCTGAATAAGGAGTGCGATAAAGTTACAGAATTCAAGCGTGATGCTACAAGGGGTCGCTGCAATGCAATAAGGCTCTCTTCTACGTATGTATTAAAATGGAAGCAACATAATAAAATAGAAACAGTTATGGGATATATACTTGTTACCAAATACTACACTAAAAACAAAAATATGGTACAAAATAATCGTATTTTTGTAAAGTTGTAATGAATCTCTTAGATGATAATATGTAAAGAAGTGTAATAAGAGAGAGACGGATCGGGATTATATGGAGAAAAAAAATTATTATTAATCAGAACCTACCAATGCAAAAAAGATGTTCTATAGTACGGAGATTAGGGGGAAAATAATTAAAAATTAATAATTTTAAATTTTATAATATTGCCACAAAGGTGTTAAATTTTCGAAAACATGGGAAAATAAATTTGGTTAGAGGATTTTAGGATCAAAACTAAATTATTTTTCTACTGTATAAATAAACAAAGGAATTGTTAATTGATAAATGAGTACTGAGTAGGGAATACTATACTATGGGCAATGCAACATTTCGTTATCTCAGCTCTCTCTCTTCCCACAACAGACTCTGGGGTACCCTAGTGATCCTTCTCTATTTTCGACCCTCATCCTTGTCATTCAATTTATCCTTTCTTTCTTTTCCAGTCTAGATCACAGATTATATTAACGAATGTGTGGCGCAGTATAGCCAAACTTGGCTCTTGAGCGGAAAAAAATTCAATACTCACTCACTCACTCTTCCCACAACGCCGAATCAGTCCGATACAAGCTTTTTCTGTCTCCGTTTTATTGTATACAGTAATTTGGACAGTGGGGATTTTTAAAAATTTAGTACTAAAGAATCTATTAAAAAATGTATCAGGTGTTTTTTTTTTCCTTGCAACTATTTAGTAGGTGTCCTCTCTTCGTTATGAATGCTAAAAGGTACTAAATGCCTTTTTTTCTGTAACAAAAATTACTTTGACTTTTTTGTCATAAAAAAGCTCAAGTACCTAAACTTCATTCCCCTTGTGGTAGTACTAAACATAAAAATTAATTTTTTATTTAATTTTTCACCTATACCAGAGAACATTTTTTTCCTTATAAGAAGGATTTGAAATTCCGAAAAAAAATGGGGAATCCACTTTAATGTGCAATTTATATCTTTTTTTCTTGATTAATTAGTCGGATTTTTAATTTGTGTCACAGAAAAAAGTTAATTATTATTAAATATATTGATTTCACAACTAAAAGATATCTGTGAGGTTAAATTATTTTTTTTTACTTTTTCTTTTGACGTAACTTGCGTGTGTGTGTGTGTGAATTAATCTAATTTTCATATAAAACACACACAAAATAAAAAATTAATTTTTTTAGTCAATTCCTACTTAGGTCAACAAAGAAAATTTTTATTTTAGTTACTTTTATTAAATAGCTACTATTAATATAAATACCATAAAATCCGGCGTATAACGCGTACTTTTAACACAAAAAATAAGAGCTAATTTTAAGGGTGCACGTTATACGCCGGGTATAAAAATGATAGCTTTAAAAATTAAAAAAAAAGAGATGAGCATAGCAAAAATTAGTCTTCTACATAGATCGAAATAATGTTTATATAACAGAAATGATATTCCTTATAACCTTTAAGGGCTGTAATTCCAGAGGTATACTATTTTTTTCTATATATATAAGGCTTAGAATAATACCTCAAACAAATTATTTCAAAACCTAAAAGCAATGTTCACGTACATTTCATGTTTTTCATTAAAAAGAGTACACGCGTTATACGGCGAATATACCTAAAAACTAGGTGCGTGTTATACGCTAGATTTTGCGGTATGTATATGCATATGACAGAATCACAATATTAAGTGACAAAATAGAAAGCGATTTTCCTTGCAATTTTCTATTTTCCTTTCTACATAGGGTGTAGGACTATTTTTTGTTACTATTTATTTATTAATGAAATTTAATTATTCAAATAAAATAGTATAGTAAAAAGAATCACATTCTCAGAAATTAGGCCATCCCAGGTGGGATTCGAACCCTTGACCTTTGAATTAACATTCCAACGCGCTAGCCATTGCGCTACAAGGATGCAGCGAGAAATTACCCTTTTTATATATAGTTTTGGACTATTATTTTTGTTGTTTTTATTTATTTGTTAATTTAATTTAATTAATGAATTAATGTTTGAAAAAACTGTATTAACATTAAGTGGCATCCCCTACAAGTTTAAAAAAATGTATTTGAACTTGAATGGATGAATAGAAAAAGTATTTTATTAACGATTGAAAATTTGAACAAGATATATATACGAGGATTGGGGCATAAGTCATGGCAACTATTTTTTTTCTTGTAGATATGTGAACGGATCACAAACGTTTTTGTGTCGTGTGAAAGTTCTACTGGCATAGTGTGAGTTCAGAACTTCAGATGACTCTGTGATAGCTGGTAGTAGCTCAGCGAGGGCTGTGAAATCAGTCAGTTGGTGAGTACCGTGCTAGATGGAAGTAACCCGTGTTGAGCAGCGTGCTTACATCAAAATAGCCGTTCTCCGATAGAGAAATGTGATGGAATGTCACAGTGAATAAGTGGAAGTCCATGGAAATAATGTCCTACCATACCGTACGGTAGCATGGTTGATAGGATAGTTTCAGCAAGGAGGTGTGTCAACCAGTGATGAGCAACGTTCTTGACGACCGGTCAGTGTGCGGACCGGCTTGGCACGTGCCATCAGCGAGTAGCTCATGGATTACATTAAGGGTCATGCCCTACATTAAGGATCTATAGTCCCAGGTTTGTCATGTCAACTTTATGTGTACTGTGTTGTCATTATTTTGCACCGTGAAGGCCATATTGTCTTGTAAACTACCGTAATCAATTAGAGTGTTTAGGTATTTCAGTGCTATTCATTGTCCACACATGTTGTTAACACCTTGAACTTTCGTCTGTATGTGCCACATTTTCCAACCGGACTGGTATCTTCAAGAAAAAAAAATAGTTGCCATGACTTTTGCCCCAACCCTCATATATAAATATATATAGGGAGAAAGTGAACTAATAGTAGGAATTGAAAAATGCATACTTACAAGCGAGATAGCCTCACTGGCTGAATGCAATGACAAAGCTTCTTCAACAAGTTTCATGAGATACGTATTTGTGTGGTTTGCTTCTTTGCCTCCCTTCAAAAGAAGGCCATTAGCTGAACTCATGGCTAAAGCAGCCACCTTAGGATGAAGAGAAAAAATTGTTATTAGTGTAACTATTTCAGGAAGATAACCTTAATATAAAAAATTTTACAAGTGTATTCATGAAAACTATCAGAATAATGTATAGGCCATTCAATATAATCACTTTGGTTTCCAATAAAACAGAATGGCCACGGCAGCCAAGTGGTCAAGGTATTGGATTGTGGCTGGCCTTGTCACGAGTTTGAGCCCAATTCCACTAAAGACCCGCCGTGTAGGGACGCGATGCACGCTAAATCTGTCGAGAGCTCAAACGCGCTCTCCCGTGGGTGTGGTGTGGTAGTTAGGAGAGGAGGATGCAAGCTCAGGTGTCATCCACGTCACTTGGCCGTGGTTCAAAATTGCGTGGTCCGTCGCCAAAAGCCCTCGGGTAGCTGAGCAGTGTGACGCAAACATTCACTCACCCAATAAAACAGAGACTTCATGCAAATAAATTATTTAAATGAGGCATAAAATTGAATTTATTAAGAAAAATTAATTCCAGACAAAATGTAAAATATGTAAAATACAGTCGAACCTCTGCTTAAAGAATTCGCTAAACCCCGAATTGTGTTCATTGTGTGGAAAAGCCGATAAATAGAGATTCATCTTGCAATACACTTTAAAACCACATGAAAAAAAGAAATTTTAAATTCACAAACATAATATATGATCAAAAAAGCAGTAATAAAACATTGTTCAGGAATACGATATATATACATTATCAACTTCAAAAAATAATTTTATATTAAAATTAATGAATTTTTTAATTATGCTTTCTAATTTTCAGCCTACAAGTAATTTTAAACATGCATTTCTGTATAACCAGTAATTTTCAGCATGCATTACCACATGTGCTCTTACGTTAAAAATTACCGATATATATATATATATATATATATATATATATATATATATATATATATATATATATATATATATATATATATATATATATATTACAAATATACAGAGAGAAAAATCGAATCACAAGTTTGTTAAAAAACTCATTATATAGAAAATGCACTTTTATCGTACTATTGTACTCTATATGCACTATTTGTAGGTTATTCTACTAAGAAAATAGCAAAATGTTCTCGGTTGGAGGAAAAATTTCGTAAAATAAAGAAATTCTCAAAATAGAGTTTCGAAAAATGGCGGTCCAACTGCGATTGTAATTGGGAAAGTTTTTAATGAATTATACTTTATTTACAGATGTGCAATTCGACTTTTGTGCAATTGGACTTCTCTCGTACCTATTCATTGTGCAATGAACTGATAAAAAAGAAAATACTCCTTAAGGGATTACTCTACATTATTTCAAAAGTAGAGCAGCAGCTATAGAGTGGGAAGCTTATTCTTAGTAGCATAGTTTCATTAAATTCAATTCATGCTATATATTCTATTGATTCTATTTCTTCCAGAAAATTTCCACTTTCATTTCTTGGAATTAATTTATGAAATTAACAGTTAAGAATGGATACAGAAAAGACACAGTATTTATGGGGTATTCACTGTAAATAAATTAAGAGCATTTCTTAAATTCAAAGAAATAGTTATTTCTGTCAGAAAAAAGGGGCATATAACCAAAAAAATTTTGAATTACTTTTCTTAAATATTATAAATAATGTATAAATGTAAATAATGTAAAAATAATGAATAAATAATGTAAAAAATGTAAAAGTATTGAATAAATAATGTAAATAAGATAAAATAATATATAAATAATGTAAATAAAATGTGTATGCTGCAGACAATTTTGTTTGCTCGTGAATCAAAACATATGCAATTTACTAAGAGTTAATGAAATACAATGTGTTATGTCAGTATATTTTTTACTTACTAATGAGATTTCGATTAACATATATATATAAGTGGAAGCTGTTGGCTGATTGCCTCAAAAAGTTAACAGAAAATAATCAGTTTTTCAATATCTCTTTTCTAAATAAATTGTTCAAATACTCTTTAAGTGGTGTGTGTCCAATGTACTTCAAATACTTCTACCAGTACAGTGTTGGTAAATATATTTGTCACCTGCATAATGCTCAAACCTAAGACTAACGACAGGCGTAAAAATCTAGCCCTTAACCACGATGAATTCCGTGGACCTTGGTTCGATGTTACTGTCCATCAGGTGGCATAAGTAACAATAACAAATTTCCTACTTATCCCTGTAGCGGGCAGTGGCTAATACGTCTAGCCACATATTAAAAAAATTTTCTCAAAGCGAGTGTTGGATATTTAGTCTATCTATAAAGCACGATACTTAAAGGCAGCACGATACTTTTTTTTTGCATTTCATGACCTTTGATGGGTGTTAAAAACTGTTTTTCTCAGTGTAAAACTACAAATTGTATTTTGATTGCAATAACTAAAATTTCTGATGTTTAAAAAAAATTTCGACACGTCTTAAGTATACTTTTCTCTCATCTGAAGGAATTAAGCAATTGTACAGTTTAAAAAAAGATTTTATTTAGGTTTTTGGAAACCTTTTTAATATGTGGATAGAGGCTCTATGCACTGCCCACCTAGAACAGAAAAATGACCTAGAAATATTCACTTTTCTCCACACTTAGAATCATGTGAGAATGTTGGGGGTCGGAAATATAAACAAACTTTTTTTCAATATGTGTACAAGATTCTCGGGTTCGAAAATCTTTCATTACAGCTTTCCTGCTCGGAGAAAACGTTTGCATATTATTAAGTTCCACAGTAAATAGTTCATCAAATTTGGGAAATAACTAATTTAAATTCTCAAAAATATTACTTGGTTTCTAACTTTTCATACTAAAATTAAATAAAATATAAAATATGGATGTATACCAAGTTCAATGTATATTCTAAGTATTCTATATATTTTCTAAGCAAGTATTCTATATATTTTCTAAGTAAGTATTCTATATATTTTCTAAGTAAGTATATATATTCTTCGTTGTACAATTATTCTATTATTATTAAATTACACTTATACTTTATATTCAATTGTTATTAAAATAGTTATTACATAAACGTTAATTTTTCATAAAAAGTTTATTGTAATATAATTCATTATTTCTCTCCTGAAAAGTTAAATGTCCTAAATGGCAGTGACTGTAACGTCCAGCCACCACCCAGGGAAAAAACTCACAATTAGATTTTTTTTGTAACTAAATGTTTATAGAGGATGAGAACATTACAGTTATCAAGTACTTTATCACAGAAAATTGTATCTTAGCTGTGTGCTCGTTAAAGGTTTAAGGGACGAAATTGTAAATATTTCTAATATTTGATTAGAAAATAAAGCTCATTGAAAGGAAAATTAAGCATTAAAGTGTAAGGGAAGTTGAATTGTTCCCAACAGAAAAAGAAGAAAATTGGAAAAATTAAGTTAGTAATTGACCATATTTAAAAAAAACAATTAAAATATAAGTAAATCATTACAGACTAATAAATTCATCTTTTTAATGTTCGCTGTACTCTTTCTATGTTTTGTCTCTTCTAATAAACTTGACGTACTACTTTGATATCTAAAGATGCATGCTCGTAACTTAACACATGTACACACAATATATTACTTTGAAACTAAAATAAAATAAAGTCACAAGCTTATTAATGTGTGTGTGTGTCTGAGTTTTTCTAATTTACCTAAATCTTCAAAACTGATGTCTACTAATAAAAGAAACTGCTTCTAAAATCATTTTTAATATTTAATTTATTTGTAAAAACTTTCTGCTTCTTATTTTTGCACGATGTGGAGGCTAAAAGTAAATCAGAATACATTTTAATGTCTTTTCCCATTTTGAAAATTTCTTCCTTTTCAAGTTTTTAAAATAAAATAATTTTTTTGTATCTAATAGGCTGCATTTGAGCAGATAAGCCTACTCGGCAA